GTAGTTATTTAACACGTTGAGCGCCACGCGTATTTCTAAGACAATCCCGTTCAGGCCACGAGCGCCGCTTATACGCTGTGGTATTAAAGGGCCGGTGATCTTAAATGTAGTAAATTTGAAATAAATTTTGTCGCCGCTACGCTGTCAGCCACCGATGGCTGACGTGGCGCTCGAAGTGTTAATAATAATCGGGACTAAAAATTCAAAAATAAGTTACGTACTTTGGCCTTAATATGCCAAACCTATTTTGACAGACCTATTTGGCATTAATCGATAACTCTTCTGTTGAAGGTATCCACGTCATTATTGAACGGAAATACTGGACACAGAAACATGTTCCAATAAAATTTAACAGAAGAAACAAAAACACAAAATCAAAATACAAATGTACACAATGTAATATAAGGGGAGGGAAAATAAATTTTATCTAGAAATAAAAAATAAAAAAAAACACTTGTAAATTTTACATTTTATCTAACACAAAGATATATTAATATGCTTCTATGTTATCGTTATGATTGATGTACGCTGTTGTTACTAAAAAAAAATACTGTTGTAAATTGAAATATTTTTTAAAGGAATTCAATTACCACCAACGGAGTGTTCATACACAAATTGTCAAGCTCTCGCGCCAATTCTAACACCGATGAGAAAAAGCTGTATAAGTAAAAAATCAACCAGTGCAATACAAATACAAACATTCATTCATTGCCAAGCAGGTAAATCAGTTTAAATGTCTTGTTACATTGAACATTGCACGCTTATCTAATTTTAATACCTGAAAATTCATACTACATTTAATTATTAATGTAATAAAGTTAGGTTGAAAAATAACCTAAATATTCCACCAACCACAATTTTAAATCATTTATGAACTTTTTATCTAAGAATTTACTTTAAATGTTAATAACTCCATTTTTAATTTGTCGTTTAAAATTCCAGTACCTAAATCCCCAAAAGCGACATCTAGCGAAGATCTGACGACCGAATGCACAGATAATATAGTGAAAAGTATAAAACAGCCGCCCACCCTTAGTACGATGATTGATAAAATAACCACAACAGGTATGTAGGAAATATGATAATAAATAATTATTTAACTCGAATATTAAATAATATGTTTCTATTACAGACCAAGAACTAAAATGTATAAAGCAAGAAATAAAATCAAATGTTCGAAATATAGGTAAAGCATATTTTTCATATTTTGAACTTTATTATTATTAGTATTAAAATACAATTTTAGTTAATTTCTGCTTTAGTGACATCAAGAAATACAAAACGAACTTCGAAATTCAATATCGCATTAAAAATGGATAATTCGAAAGAATATAGAATATTGATAAACGTAAATTCTAAACGATAAAAATGGTAGGCTTTTGAATGGAGAATTTTTTTTTATATCAACACCGATTGTTATGAACTACTGCACAAAGTATCGTTTCTTGCAGGAATTCATGTAAATTTTAAAAGTAAAGTTAATAGAACACCAAAAGAACTGAATAAAAAAATATCATTGCCAATAAAAAGAAACAAATGGAATAAGGGAAAATTGAAAGGTACAATCTTTTTACTAAAATAACTATATTTTTTAACAATTTTATCAATTTTTTTGACGCACGACCAAAAGATGGCGCTTAAAACAGTTAATTTATTTTGGCCGATGACACGAAAAATATTTTACACCTCAAATTTTTTTGATGGGTTAAGATAAATAATGTTGAAAATTTCCATAAGTAAAATTTTGATTTGGTCTTTCTTATTTGTTTGTGTAGAATACTTATTCGTCTACGACATGCCTCATATTGTGCCGCATTCAATCTTCTCAGAGCAGACTTCTCCAGTATCGCCTTCAATAAGATCGAGTAAGTAACATGATATTATTAATTAAAAAAAACTACTTAGCCTCTAAACTGTACTTTTTGTAAATCTAAACTTAATTTTTTCAGGTCATACTTTGTGTGAGCCAACATGTGTAGAATTTGTGAGTAATGGTGCGCAAACTTCAGCCAGGCAATGGAAACTTTATAATGAAGAACGAAATTTATATAAAGGTAATACTTTTAAATTTCCTGCACATAAAACAGATTTAAAAATTAACGTCTTTTCGTCAGGTGCAAAACAACGAGTGACCTCTAGTGGCAACCCCAGAAACCCAAAAAACTCCAACGTATTCTACTTGGAAGCTTGCACAATGAAACCTAGTACTTATCACAACGCAGGCTGTCAGACATACGAATACATTATTCCAGTAATAACAATAGCTAGTGCCTCCACCTGTAGTCTCTCACCAGCACTAAGTCTTACGGATATTTGCGAAGGGAGAGATAAAAATGAATTACAAGCCGTGTACTACATGCTTAGTGCAATCGAAGGTAGAATCAGACGGTTGAAACAAAACATTCGCTGCAGACAGTAAATGGTACATAGATGGCGCTGTTTTAAATTATTCACTTTTTAATTTTTTTCTAACATTGTTTAGTGGTCGTACAAACGTTTGAAGTGAAATGGTTATGTGAAATAAAATTTTGTTACAAATAATACGTTTTATTTTTGTATTTGAGTTACAAAAATGGGAAATCAGTTTAAATTAATACGAAAATTTGACATTTTATCAATATTATAAAAATACCAAAGTTTAGATGGATGTATGTTTGTTAGAAGGTATTTTCGGAACTGCCCAAGAAGTCTTGATAAAATTTAACACAGATATAGAACAATCTGGAAGGGACACAGTATCAAGATTTTTTTAAATGACGCGGACGGAGTCACGGACGACAACTACTTAATAAAACAACTATCTGGAGTAGATTAATATTTATTCCAATTTTCTATACAACAAATATTTTAAGTAGTTAACAGATTACAGAAAAATAACAAGCAGTAAATTATTTATTTACATTTAAATGCAGTAGTTTACTTAATATTTACTAAGACAAGGAATGTTGGAATAACATATGGTTATTAATGTAACAACATATAACTAATGCATAATATACGTGATTAACTTTTTCGTAATAACAGTTTCTAACTGTAGGTTTCCATTGCAGTAACGATTTTACAAAATTAGTCATTTCTTTTTTTTTTAAAGAATTACGGATGTATTTGTATAAATGTTTCGGCAATGAAAATATATTGTTAGGGTGGTGCCACAAAAATCAAAATGTCTAAAAACACAGTCTTTGAAAGATGAAATCTATTTAAATGCTTTAAAATATTTTGGACGTAAACAAAGTAAAAATCTCATAAGGAAAAGTCAAAATGTTTTAACTAATATTAGCTTTCTTAATGTTACTAAAAAAAAAAGAAAATAATACTGGCACCAATTCAATAAAAAACAAGCGATGCAACAATGTGCAAATTTAAATCTTAAACCTTTTTGTTAAGGTTCAATTTTATATACAAGCGCCGTTCCTCTTAAATATTAAAAAGCATATCACAATTATTATAAATTTAATAAAGATTAATAAAAAAATTAAATATTTATAAAACCTTTGACTACCAATAACTTTATAATAAAAAAAATAAACAAAATAATTGCAATAAACATTTGTATGTACTCCATACATACATACAAAAAGTCAAAAATGAACTGAATTATATATTTTACTTGATTACATAGATTATATTCAAAGTATTTATATGAAAATGTGTGTAATGAGTATTTTTTCCATTACCAAAGGACATGCAAAAAGAAAATATTGTCGTCTCCCTCACACATATTGAGGAATAGAGACAACAATATATTATTTTACACGTGATTCGCTAACAAAATTGACAATTGTTTAATATCTGAAAAATCGGAATATATTTAAAACATTTTTATTCCTAATGTAAATGGATATAATCATATTTACAAGGCATTTACCGTGGGTTTCTGACACTTAAATCTCTGCACATAAAACATATCGTCTATGTTTTAAACGGGGATTCTAAGCTCAGAAACCCACGGTAAAATATATTAATGTTCCGACTATATAAGTTTATACATGTTAGCGATTCGTCGATATATTTAAATAATCCCTGTTTTGTATCGGGCGCTCCGACGCGCGATACTGACCTCTATGTGATTGCGATAAGCGTCATTATTCCGAATAATTCGTCTCATTTGGCACTCAATGAGCTGCACAGCCTTCTAATATTATAATAAACACTATAACCAATTGCGCAGAATGAAATACCTGAAAAA